GAACCCGCCACCTTATGTGTATGTGGCTGGCGCCTTAGCCACTTGAGCCACAGGCACCGAGCCCGCCCGGCTATTTTTGTTGCAGTTTGGCCAGGGTCAGGTTCGAACCTACCACCCTCAGTATATGGGCCTGGTGCCCTACTCACTGAGCCACAGGCGCCGCCCAAGGGCCACACTCTTAGCACTTCTGGGTGACTGCTATGCTGGACCTGGATTCTGTGCCGCCAAGACTAAAATCATTTAAGTAGTTTGCTTAAAATTGAAGAACTCAGTATAGTGGGGTACCTACATAATCTTATATTCATTCAGTAGATGTTTGCTAAATGCTTCTTTTGGTCCAGACACTGAACTAGGTCTGAGAGTACTAAAATGAAGATGAGGACATGATTCTACTCTAAAGGGTAGTCTATAGGAGGAGACAATGAGCTGAAGTTTCAGGTACTTTAACAGGTGTTTCTGTAAGGTGAAGGGGAGCACAAAGGAGGGGCATCAAATAGGAAAGGTTTTCTAAAGGCAGTGGACATTTGATTTGTCTTTATGAGCAAATGTTTGCCTAATGAACAATGGAACGATCATTCCAGGAAGAGGGTGAACATTGTGAGTAAAAGCACTGTGTGCTTGGAGAACTCAGAGTAGCGGGAGGGAAGGTGTCCAGAAAGAAGCCAGACAAGCAGTCAGAGGCTAGGCGCTCCTTGCTGAAGAGTCATTGTGCATGTTGTGTGAGTACTTGGCTTTTAGACACAATGATTCTAATGTTTTATCCTGTGATGTTATTTCTTTCAGGGGCTGGGTACTGGGGCTAACACCTGTAATCCCATCACTTTGGGAAGCTGAGGCCCGAGGATGGCTTGAAGCCAGCCAAGAGTTTGTGAGAGCAAGACCCCGTCTATTAAAAAAAAAAAAAAGAATATAATTAGTATAGTTCTTTTTTTTTTTTTTTTAAAGACCAGATGGGACAGGCATAGTGGCTCATGCCTGTAACCTAGCACTTTGGGAGGCTGAGGCAGGAGGATCTTCTGAGCTCAGGAGTTTGAGACAAGCCTGAGCAGGAGTAAGACCTCATCTCTAAAAAGTAGCTGGGCGTTGTGGTGGGCACCTGTAGTCCCAGCTACTTGGGAGGCTAAGTCAAGAGGACTGCTTGAGCCCGAGTTTGAGGTTGCTATGAGCTATGATACCACAGCATTCTTCTGAGGGCAATGAAGTGAGACTCTGTCTCAAAGGAAAAAGAAAAAAGGCTCAGCGCCTGTAGCTCAGTGGCTAGGGCTCCAGCCACATACCTGGAGCTGGCAGGTTCGAACCCAGGCCAGGCCTGCCAAACAACAATGACAACTAAAACCAAAAAATAGCCGGGTATTGTGGCAGGTGCCTGTAGACCCAGCTACTTGGGAAGCTGAGGCAAGAGAATTGCTTAAGTCCAAGAGTTTGAGGTTGCTGTGAGCTGTGGCGCCACGGCAGTCTACCCAGGGCAACAGAGACTGTCTCAAAAATTAAAAAAAAAAAAAAA